CCCATTATACTGTTGAAATTATCATATCATGAAACATTACTATGCAAATATATAAAAGCAAAAATCTTAAAGGAGAATCAACACAGCAAAGCTGTAATTTGCAATATTCCTGGGATTTTTTTCTTGCCTTCCTCATAAAAACAATTATGAAAGAAGGACAAGTAACTTACCACATTCAGTGGTATGGTCTAAGAAATCTTTATGCTAAGCATTATAATCTCAGGAGCATGTAAGTGAATCCTCTTCACACACACATACATGCTGTATGAATTACTATCTGGGGATCTGTTTTGTCTTGTTTTGCACCTCATATTTTCCTCCCTACCCCTAGAAAAAGCAGGTAAGTAGCAAAACATTAGTAACTCATGTACCAATGTAAATGACTTCACAGAAAGAACAGGGTAATTTTGCAGTTGTGATACCCCTAGTGGAAATAATTATCTCCAGTTTAAACACTATAAATCAGTGTTTAAGGGGGTGCATGTTAAAATAGACTTTTCTGTTTAGGGCCAAGTCTGCTTTCTCTCAGGAGTTAGTGCCTGAGTGATAGGTTTTCTTGCTACTGCTTTTCTTCATTGGTCATGTATTACTTCTTCCCAGCTTGCCTCCTGCTGAAATAATTGTGGTGCTAATAACAATGTGTGGGGAAATGACCAGATGTGCTAGTTTTTTTAGACAATTATACCAGTTTTTCCAATTTTCCAGACATTTTTTCATTTCTTTATTAACTCACCGGTGCCAGGAATTGGATTTTTCCAGTACATAAATCCTAATTAGCAAGCCAGAGAATTGAGTGCTCCATTTTACTCCTGATGTGTCATTTCCCCTCTGTTCTTGGTTAATTGGCATTTTAAAAAGCCAACTCTTGTGTTTTTAAGGGTAAAAAAGGAAATACAGGAATATTTTGGGACAGAAATGAAAATATGGTAAAGGGACAAAAAATTAAAAGAAGTTGAAGTTGGGATCAGGGCCTTCTGGTAGCTCTGGGATTGCAGGACATGGAGATCTGCAGAGTGCTTAAGCTGCTTGAGGTTCAGCTTCATCTTTCTGGCACTAGAGGTGACTGAACCCCATCCTGCTGTGTCTGTGCTGCTTTCTGCTTGCTGTGGGCATGGTGTGATTTTATTAAATAATTCCATGCTGGCCCTGAGGAGCATCTAGAGGCTGATTTGGTAAAGCAAAGGCAGGGTTTGGTGCACTGCTGACGTGAGTTGCTCTTACAGGCTTTCCTTACAGCCTCCTTTTCTCCTTATCAAGGACCAGAGATAGAATGGAGTAGGAGGAGGAGGCAGAGGCTTGCCAGGAGTGAGGGTATCCTCAGATTCTGAGTCTAAGGATTCTTTCAGCCTTAGTATGTGCTTAGGGATGCCCTGAGCCTGTGGGAGGGGCTGGTGGAGGGTTGTCAGGGCAGGAGGAGTGGTTGTGAGTCTCAGGGAGGATGAAGCACTATGTCAGGAGAAGGGAATGGTACTAAAAGGTGCTTTTCTGGATAGATAGGATTACAGGAAACAGAGGAGGTTTATGAGGTTCTGAGATTCGCCTCAGAAGAAGGAAGAAGGAAGTTATTCAATTTATGAGTGACGTAAAAAAGGTTGTGTGTTCCTGTTGGCATTGGTATACTGCAGTTTGAGGCTAAAAAAGATTCACTCCAAAAGACAAAATGATAAAGAGGAGGTTCTTGCCACCTTGTACTGGGCAGTTTGAATCCTGGGAGGAAAAAAGGGGAGGTGGTGCCCTTTTTTAGCTTCTACCAGGGTGCTATAAAGGACAAAGGGAAGGGAAGCAAGCCTGATAAATGCAGTTCCACAACTTAGATAGCAGTTGGTAAGAAGGGAAATAAATAGCAAAACTTTTTCTCAGCTAGGAAGGGGTAACAGTTCAGATCTTGCCCCATCTCCATAGTGGTCTGTCCAAAACTTGAGTCTTTTGAGGTTCAGAGAAGGATGATTAATTTTTTTTTTTTTAATTTTTTTTCTTTTTCTGTGCTAATGCATTAATTGGTTCCAGGCAGACAGGGAACAGCAGAGCCAAGATATTGCAAGCAAGGCTGCAGTCCAGGTAATTTGAGGGCTGTCAGGAGACTGAGAAGCACCAGAGGTCATGGTAAAACCTGGAGTCTTTCACTTTCCAAAATGTTTCATAGGTCCAAGAAGTCTGAACAATGTCATGTTTTTGGGTGCTCAAATAGAAAGGAGGGAAGGGAAGGGAAGGGAAGGAAAGGAAAGGAAAGGAAAGGAAAGGAAAGGAAAGGAAAGGAAAGGAAAGGGAAAAGGAAAAGGAAAAGGAAAAGGAAAAGGAAAAGGAAAAGGAAAAGGAAAAGGAAAAGGAAAAGGAAAAGGAAAAGGAAAAGGAAAAGGAAAAGGAGGGAGGGAAATGTCAGAATACTTTGGAGTTATTCCAGCACTGCTGTGCTGCCCTTAAAGGGAACCTCAGGAGATTTCTCCTAAACCTGGGGACCATATTTCTGTCTCCTGGCATCTTCGCAGCTGGAAAAGATCAGTCCTTGGCACTGCATACTGCACTCCCTGACCTGAGACACAGGAGTTACCTTTGCTTCTGACGCAGCTGGGTGCTGGTGTTCCTGGCTGTGGGTGCCTTTTCCCTCTAGCCAAAGCCTGGGCCTGTTATTTATTTACTACTCACTTTGGTTGTTGCTGTTTTAAAATATTTCATTGCAGAATTCATGGCTAACAGGTGCTCTTCCCTTTTATCTGTCCAGCTTGATGTATTGTCCTAGTGTGAGTGCTGGGAGAAAAACAGCACAAGGACAGCCTCTGGGGAGCTGCATGGCCAAATCCTGTCCTGCCAGTCAGCAACAGCGCACATCACCAAACCACAAGAGATTTCATATGAGGCTTTTCTTTAAAGGAAGTAAAAAGGCCTGCTGGTTTTAGTCATAATTATTTCTCTTTTTTATTAGCTTTTAGAGAATGAGCAACAGTTCAGTGAGTTGTGTTTGTAGCAAATACAGGTTATGAAATAAATGTATTTCATTTTTTGCTCATTTTGCAATGAAAGACTCTCCAAATTTGTCTCCTAAATGGTTTAACTCAACATTAGAAATGATGCTGCCAAATACTGACTGATTCAATAGATGATGAGTTTCAAATTCCTCTTTTACATGGGGAATGTGATATAGAACAATGACCTCAATTTTCAGCTGTGTCCTCAGATTCACCTCCTTTTTGGCTGTCTCTTTTTCTTTTTCAAGTTATCATAGTTTTTCAAGTCCTGAGGGTCTTAAGAGGGCACTAATATTTAATAATTAGGCACTATATCTCTGATGGTTCTTCTAGTGACATCTTTTACAACTAATGAGCATTTAATAGAATGTAATTAGGAGCTCTGATCCTTAGACCTTGACCTGTCTAGACCTTCTATACAACTAAGTGACTAGACAGCCCTTAACACTCATTAGGAGTTATCTGCACCCCACTTTACAAAGCTATGTGAGGAAACTGTTTAGATTTAGCCTCAAGCCACCTGCTTCCTAATCTGTTGCTGTGCACTCAGTTGATCCTGCTGTCCTTACAGTAACTGGAAAGCTACCAATGATTTCATTTTAAAGCAAATATTCTAATTCTGGAGGCACAGGATGGAAACCTGGTTGCTGTATTTGACAGTATGAGATCTTCAGAAAGCATGTAAATAGGAGAGATTATTTTGATGTTATGGAGAAACATTTACATTTTAAAATGAAAGAGAAACATCCAAAGGTAGTTAAGGAAGTTAGCAAAATGTGTTTTGATACAGTATGTTCATCTGGGATATATTTAATAGGGCTCCTTTTACAGGTAATATATTTGTCTTCATATTCCTGGAAGCCCCTTATATCTTTAAAGTAAATTAACTGGTTTTGTTACTGGTTTTAAAAGAAATTAATTAAAAAAATCTTTATATGCATTTATGAGAAGCAGTCTGTTTGGCATGCCACCAAGAAACACAGAGAGCAGGTTTCTTTCTTCTCTATGAATTTTTTAATGTATATGTGTCTATATTGTCAAATATTCTTAAATATCTTTTGCCTAGTCCGTATGCCTATTCTGTCTATTTGCCCTTTTTCTCACTTTAGTTTCATTCTAATTGCATAGACTAGTTGTTGTCAGAGTTTTTACTCAGACTTTGGAGACCATTACCATTGCACATGTCTAGGGGTTTTTTAAAGATAAATGTGACAAATCATGTAACAAAGGAAAGGAAAAATCCAATTCTCAGTATTTCTTTGATAAATTTTCAGTGGCTTAGGAAAAGGATCCAAATACATTCTTAATACATTTGATCTTGATCCTTTCTGGAAACGATTATATGTAACCAAATGCATCCATATATAGAAGACAGATTTTTTTAAAATAAAGTGTCCAAATGATCTTGCTAATGCTGATACAACATTTCAATTATTTGTCTTTTGAAAAGGGTTCTGTTTTGAGATATTAGTTGCAAATAGAGGAAATGAAGTGTTGATGTAGTAAGGAATAATTTACTGTGTCTGGAGAGTTCTAAAGCAAAACATCTGGATCAATTTGTTTACAAAGTCCCTGCAGATAAAACGCACTATCTCTCCAAAGGATCAGTTTGTGCCCTTTCTGAAAAATCATAAAAAAAAAAAAAATTTGCTATCATCATACACAGAAAGCTCTTGGGAATTTGTTAGTAGGGAATGCAAAGATGGTTTGAAATCCTGTTTCATAGGATATCAGCTAGTTGCTGAAAATGTGGTGTGGCTTTGTGATCTTATTTAGTCTGTCCTTCCCTGTTTCTCTGCTTTCCCCACACCCTTCATCTTTTTTGTATTCACGTGTCACAACCTGGAAGAGCACAGAATGCTCTTTCTTGATTCTGCTCCTGCTATTGAAAGGTATTTTTGGATCCTTCTTTAACAAATGTAGCCACAGCAATTAATATCACATTAGTGAAACTTGCAATGACTTCACTAATCAGCATTTTCAAGAGCTGCTTCATGCACTTCCCTGACTTATGTTTTTGGGTTTTTTTTCCCCCAGATATTATCTTCATTTACAGGAATTTTCATGGAAAGTGAGCCTGAGCCATGGCAGATAAAGACCTTATGGATATTTTCCCCTAAGAGGACACGTCTAACAGATCTTGTATGTTACCTGATTTTTTTTCCTCTTCCAAGTTTACCTTTTATGGATCCTTTTAGTTAAAACACCGATCCAAAATACTAACACTGAAATTCAATTTTGTGATTAGAGATTTTGCATGCTCACCTGCTTCCGTTACTTTCTTGAAATGGTCAGAAACATGGGCTGATAATGTCTATGTGGCCATCCTTTTTCAGTTCCAAGGGCTCTCCTAGTATTACATCTTTTCTGCTGTTGAGAGAAGCAAAACCTCCATCCCTCCTGAGGGATGTTATCCTTGGAGTGTCAAGGGAATGAAACAACCATGTAGAAGAAGAATGGCCCTGGCACAGAACACGGGTCTCATTCCATCCTAAGTTTGGTCATGAATCTGAAGGTTGTGGTTCAGACAAATTTCAGAGCCATTTAAATTCAATTTCAGCTCAGCATCAGCATCCACAAAGCCCAGCTGAGAGTCCTGTTGTTGTTGACAGTATACTGAGCTCATAAAAACAAACAGGATCATTATATAAATCAAAAGAAGATGAAAGTAGAACCCACATCTTCCAGCTTGAATACTTAAAGTCTGCCAGGAGGAATAAAAGATACTTCCTGTAAGGGTGATGCATTGAAAACCTTTAGAGTTTTCTTATTTTACATGGTAAAGAGAAGGGGAGAATGTCCTTATTAATCCTATGTATACGGATGCTTTTTCATTCCAACAGGTTTATTTAATATTAGCAACATGTCCCTACTATTTTAATTCATTTTATGACACCAGCTCTGAGAAATGATGCTGGTTATCTCCATCTTGGGGCTCTCAAAGGATGAAGGAGAGTATTTTTGTTTCCCAAGAAAACACAGCAAAGTCGTTATACTTGCCTGGACTAGATGTCCTGCTGTTTCTAGATCATGCAGTATTTATTTAATTCTGTGTTCCTTGCAGAAGGAGTGTGTTTTCATGCAGATGCTGTGTAATCTCTCAGTAGTGTGGAGGACATTGCAAAGAGTTTTGTGCAGTGTTTGTATTTATTGGTGTGGAAAAGCAAAGTGTGTGCATATACCTGATTAATTATGTATCTTTACACATTTCTTGATAGCAGTTAAGCATTAGATTTTATGATCTAGCAACAGTAGGGTCTGTGAAGTCACTACATATATTTTTTATTATAAAGTGATTTAAGCTCTAGAACCAGTGTTTTAGGTTTATTTTGCAGATGTGTTTTCTTTCATAATTCATTTCAGACCAGAAAAACAATTTAATACATTCTTGATTTTGTTGTTTAGTGAAGTAGTCTCATGTTCTTTTGATAATTGCTGGAGAAATTAATGGAGTTTTTGGAAAAGGTTTTATGATATGTAAGAATTTAGAGTGAGATCCAAAAAAGCACTTAGGTGCACAAAGAAAAACTTAGGCAGAATCTAGATACCCAAATCCAAGGGAATGATCCAAATGCTCTGTGCAGAGGCCCAGGGACTGCACTGCTGAGGTTTCTCCTGTTGCTGAGAGCCCAAGGTTCTGCTGCTCGTGCTCCAGAGCTGTGTCTGTAGCACAGAGGATGCAGTGCCATGCAGGTGTGGCACTACAATGGGTATTAGAAAATGAGCTGCTGCAGCCAATGAGGTGTGGAAGACCTGATACAACCAGCTTGTTGTAGTTTTGCTCTTACAGACCTGGCATGATACAGAACATGTGCAGTCCACAGAGAGCAAGAATTTGGTGCTGCTGTACCTGAAAGTAGTTACTGCTTGAATTCAAATCGCAGAGGCTTGTGCTTTTGTTGATGCAAGATCTATTTCAACCTTATTCAAAATGGAAAAGTGATAGAATGAGAATTTTGAAGGAAGAAATCAGTAAATTTTTCATTTTCGACCTTCCACGAATAAAATAAACTAAAATTCATTAATTATGTTACTCGCAATTTCTAGAGACATACTGTTTCTATGTGTTAGCAGTGGGAAGATGCTTAAGAATGGTACATGGAGCTAAGAAACAATAGCAAAAGTGTTTCAAAACCTGTACTGAGATTCAAGTTTTGTCTTTGAATTTGAAGTGCTGCTAGTTTAAATTTTACCTGTCTACTTGGGGAGCTAAACTGTCTTGGCAAGGCTCCACTCATATATAGAGTTTCATTCCACTCTGTAATAGTTTCCACAAAATTCTAAGTACTGTAGAACTTTATGTTCACATCTTTAATGTCCCAGACAAGGAACTACATATTTTTGTTTTTTTGTAGTTTGATTTATAGTTTAAAAAAATCTATGATAATCTATATGTTGGCTAGTAACAAAAATGTAAGAAAAATTGGTGACATCATTGTTCTTTAGCTGATAAGCTATTTCCTTCTGCTGTAAAGTGGATAGTTTGAAGCATGCCTGAATAAATTGGAAAATCCTACAAGATTTCTAAGTGGAAATGGGCATAATATTAATTGATGGCTAATTAACTTAAAATAATTTTTGAGACCCATAAGATAAGCAAGTGGTAAGACTAGAGGATTCATAAAGCAGCTGACAGAAATCAAACCTGTCTGATTTCATGTGTTCTAAGTACATTTAACTGACTATCATGTGTTGCTTTCAGAACATGACACAGTACAAGTGGTTCATGACCTTCTGTGAGCAGCTTTATACATTGTATTTTCCTCACCCAAATGTCTGAAGGCCAGATTAAATCTGTTTCTTCCAGAGAGGCTAAGATTTTCCAGGGCTTTCACTGCTTGTGGTGATTTATAGCATGGGCCAAAGTCCATTTGCTGGACAGGAGCAATCCCTGCTCACTATGTGAGGAATTACACAGTTTGTCTCACTGATGTGTTGATTGCATCTCATTCATATGTGAGAAAGGGGTTAATTCTTTTACTCTAGTGTCTTCTAGGAATTGTCTTGACCCATGTGCATGAAGATTGGCTGTGAACTGTTAAGAGAGCACTGCTGAGTGAAAATATGAGTGTGACCCTCTGCACAGGGGAGCCTCCATCACACTTGTGCTTCTTCACTAGTAGAGCTGGGGAGCAGAGTCTGGTGGAGCTGATCAGCTTGGGCAGGTGACAGCCCAGTCAGGTGTAGAAAAGGACTTGAAGCTACAAACTAACATCATTTGAACCAGAAGTCTCAGAGATTTTATTATAGGAAATTATTACAGAGTCACTCCTTCTGATAAATTGCCTCAGATTAATTTTCTGCACAAATTCTCAGGCAAGTCTGTGCAAGAGAAATCATACCAGAAGTTGCTATCTCAGGGGTTAATCTGGAAGATTTGCATTTAAAGTCATACTCTACTGTAATCCAAACTAGCTTCTCTGTGTAAGTCAGTCCTCATATCTGTCAAGATGCTGGAATTTCCTTTTCTAGCTATTCTTAAAAAACCCCAAAAATGTATTAGTAAGCATAGTTATTTGTTCCCCCTGCCATCCTAGGCAACTTGAAATTGTCACTAAATGGCAATTCTGCTTTTAATACAGATGACATGTTACCCAAGGTTTTGAATAAATTACACTGACTGTTAAATTAGCTGGCACTAGAAGTCAGTGGCAGCATTGTAATGAACTGTTACTGGATTCATTTACAGTCAGGGAGCAACCATATAGCATTTATGTGTACATGCTGGTCTACTGACATGGAAATTGGTCTGACACACTTGACCTGTGTTAGCTGTGGAAATTCTAGACTGAAGCCAATTGCTATGCTTCCTGAATGCCACAGGCAAACCTGCTGTAATCCAGGAATCTCATTCCAGGATATTTTATTTTGTGCTCCATGTACTTTGGAGCACAAAACCAGAATGCATCATGCTCTGTTAAAATAGTTGTTCTTTAGCTGATGTCTTCACTGCATTCCAGCTGCAGGAGAGAGGAATTTGAAGATGGTTTACTTGAGCCAAATTTTGCATTGTTTAATTGAGCAAAATATTCAAAGGGCAATAGAGTTCAATATCTTTTCTCTTTTGCAGTTAAATTAAAGTGATGTCATAGGCGGAGCTCTTCTGCTGTCATATTAACCTAGGGAATTTTCATAAATTTCCTTCCCAGAGCTCCAAAACATGTATTCTTCCATGGGACTTAGAAGAGAGATCTGTGTGCAAAAGAATGTTTAAGAGTGACACTGATCTTGTTTTGGAACACTGCTGGGAGTCTATGGGTTTCAAGGAAACACTTGAGGACAGCAGCACATACTCATAGCTTTCTCCCACCTGCCCTCCCACTCCTTGACAAATACCTAAATCTGTCATACTCAGTGCATTTTACTCCTCATCTGTAAATGCTTTTAGGCAGAAAACCATGGATGTTTTTTACCAAACCCTGAAGACTAGGGTTGAACTTTGGGTTCACTAAATGTTCCTTTAAAAAAATTTAGAGAAAACAAAACACTCATTAAACCATCTCTATTAAGTACTGTTGATAGGTCAGAAAAGAACTGTGAGTAACAGAGCCTAAATAATTTAATATAAATTCTGTATTTATGTATGAAAATAACTACAAAAAACTGCAATGATGCTTCTTACAAACCCCTGTTTTGAGAATATAATTTCTGTGGATTACTATGGATTAAAAATCTGCTTTAAAGTTATTTTGGGCATGTTTAAAACCACACCTCCTCCCTCTGTTCTATTTTCTTCTGACAGATAAGCAGCAAAGTGACTGCATTTTGAAGTAATTCTTTTACTGATATGAAAATAATATTTTACATTACTGTGTTTTGTTCCTTACCTCTGAGGATCTCAAAGCATATTAGATACCATATTGTATCTCTAGCAAGTGTTTGCTTCCTAATGACAAATATCCACTTGTGAGGCAAATGCAGCAACACATCACAATTAATTTGGGGGGTCTATTCTGAGACCCAAGGGGAATTTCTTTTGGTAGGAAAAGCAGAATTTGTTATGCAATTGAATTTGAGCATGAACTTGAGTATACAAGAGAGGCAAAGGTCTCATACCCAGCCTCTTTCTGTCACATGCAATGAAGAATCTCAGTAATATGCCATTTGATATGTACATGTATCTATGCTGGTTATTTGATGCA